TAAAGTATTCCAATAAAAGAAAGATTGAAGAGATTTAGTATCATTCAAGATAGTACCTGCACTATTTGTAATTCTGAGGAGGAAACTATGAATCATTTGTTTTTTACTTGAAGGAACACTAAATATATTTGGCAAAAGATTCTGCATTGGATAGATGTTAAGCATGAGGCAAAAAGCTGGTCCGAGGAAAGCAACTGGATTATTGCTAATACTAAAGGGAAAGGCTGGAAATCTACCATATTGAAATTAGATTTGGCTGAGGCAATTCATGGAATTTGGTTGTATATAAATGATAGTATTTTTGGTGAACATCGTGATAGGGATACTATTGTTGATAGAATTATAGAAAACATTGTATACATGGGATGGTTGAATAGGAAGATTAGGAAGCATATTGCTAATATGATGTTGTAGATTTTTTTTGCCTTGTTTGGTGACTGCACCCGTGCGATCGCCTTGTTTGCTTTTTGTTTTTTGAATTAATATATTTTTCCCTTTGATTAAAATAAAGTATTCCAATAAACATCAGTGTATCCTTCAAGTACATCAGGAAATCTCAGATAATGTAAATCGATATTTGTGTTCCTTTTAAGACATCACATGACTCGCTCAATAGCTTTTCAATGCTCATTATTCAGTCTACTAGTAAACATGCACAACAATCCTATGACATATGCAATGTCGGTCTAGTACAATCGCTGGCATATCTAAGATTGCCAATTATGCTCGCATATTATGTTTGCCTGACACTATCACCAGTGTTCTTAAACAACTTTACACTTGGTTCATATGGTGTGCAAGCGGGTTTACAGTCAAAGTAATTATATTTCTTTAAGATCTTCTCTGTATTATGAGATTGATCCAAAGAAATTCCTTTTACGGATTAGTAATCTTGATTTTAAGAACCGTCTTGCTTCTCTGAGGTCTTTCATATCAAAGTTGTTGCTCAACAATGATTTCACATCATTAAGAGCCTGAATGTTTGATCCAAATTGAGTAGATCGTCTATACAAAGACATATGATAGTGCAAATGTGATTCTCATATTTGTTATAAATGCATTTTTCACTTTCATTCGCTTCGTACCCATTCGATATCATTAAGTTGTAAAACTTCTCATGCCATTATTTTGAAGCTTGTTTTAGACCATACAAAGACTTATCTAACTTACAAAAATTGTTTTAGAAGGATCAAAACTTGTCTTCAGAGTCTTCAGAACTTGTTAATCAGAACCTTGCCTTCAGAGTCTTCAACATGTTGATCTTCAGAACAGTTGGTCTTCAGAGTCTTCAGAACCGTTGGTCTTCGGAACTTGTTCACCAGAATCTTGTCTTCAAAATCTTCAGAACCTTGGAGTAAGAGATACTAGAATCTTTAGAGCTTGAGAAGCCTTCAGAAGCTCTACCATCAGAGTCACAGGCAGAAGCTTTATAAGTTAATATTCCTTAGAACCAATCTTTTAGAAGCATTATGATTCTTGTAACACGCACTTGTATCATTTAGTGTGTTGAGTTCAGAGTATGATGACGTCACACGCCATATCTTCAGAGTCAGAACATGTTAGAAAAATCTACACACTAGATAAAACTATTAGGGTACTAAATTATTATCTAATCACCCGTGTATTGTTATCATCAAAACTAAAGTCCATATGCATAACTAAATCTTGTTCTTACAATCTCCCTCTTTTTGATGATGACAAAACCATGTATTTTGATAAATAATTTATATTGGGTTAAATCACATAAAACATTTCAGAGTTAGCTAAACAACTCCCCCTGAGTTATATACTCTTAAAACTTATTTAATCTTGTTTAGAGTCTTCCCCTGAGTTCAAGACTTAAAGAAGTTTTAAGATGTAACATGAATCAATCAGCATGAAGGAATACTTCCCTGATTGAAATACTATCAAGAGCCTGATTAGCAATGTAGAAATATTCATCTCAGATTCTGGCTTGCTATCAGAACATGGTGATGTATTAGATCAGAGTTTGGTGAAGTCTCGGAGCATGGTTGTTAAAAACCAAAGCTAGATTATCAAGTAACATAACTTGATCAATCTTGTCTCTTCATCAGAGTTTGGTTGAATTTCCTTTGAGCAAAGGTTTGATAACCCATAACTTATGAGTTTTTAGCTTCTGAATCTCCTTCAGAGTTCAGAACATGCATGTTAAGAAAAGTTTAGTGAACTTTCTGAAAGTTCCCGAGTCAAACAATGTTAGAGGCAATAATATTATAACCATGTTTGGGAACAGATTCTGAGATAAGATATATCAAAATCATCTATTTTCTCCCCTTTTGTCAGAAATCAAAAAGATTTAAAGAGACAAAGTAAAAATTCATTAACCAAAGACCAAGATACAAAAGTTTTTAGCAACAAAAGAAAAACACTTAAGTTCTAAAAGAAAATGTAAAATAAATGGCCTAGGGGTCTGGTGGATGAGGAGGAGGCATCCTTTCTATAATGTCCTTTAGCAAGTTGAAAAGGGCATAATGTTCTTCAAACTTTTGGAATTGCTTGTCTGAACGCTCTAGAATGATGACATTTGTCTTTTTCAACTTTTCCAAAGTATCCTTCAACCCAGGTGGCATCTCTGCAGCAGTAGTAGCTATCTCGTGTGAAAGACTCAACATAAAGTCACTATACATAAAGTCTCGCCTAAGAGACTCAACATAAAGTCTCGTATGAGGATCTCGACATAAAATCTCGCCTAAGAAACTCAATATAAAGTCTCGTATGAGGAACTCGACATAAAGTCTCGCCTAAGAGATTTGACATAAAATCTCGTTTGAAGGACCCAACTAAGAGTCTCTACAGGTAGGCTTGACTGAGAGAATCACCTACAGACATAAGCTCCCCCTGTGCAGGGTCTATTAAACATTTTCCTCTTTACCAAACCCTCATACCTAAAGGACTATGTAGTGTTAATTTTTATGCGAGTCATAAGGAGAGGTAGCTTACGAGGAAGGTCATTAAAAAGGAGAGAGACAGGACGCCCAAAAACACCAAACGAAGCCACCGGCCGTCTGAAATAGACCGTGAGACCGCCTATAATTGGCCAAGAGATTGTCCAAATGTGACAATAGAACCCGTCTGATTGGACTCCCATTGTCAAAAACATGTGTTTTGTTGTCTAACAACTAACAAAACAATAAATAAAAAAATTAGTTAAAATAGAGTTAATCGAAAAAAGTTGTTTTTTATAAAAAGAAAAAATACTGCTAGAAAGTGAAAGGTTGGTTTTATTAAATAAAAAAACAAATAATAAAATATACTTAAAAACTATTATTGAAAAAAATGTATAATTTATTTTTTAAGGAAAAAATGACAGATTATGGAAAACTTTTTTTTAAATGAATAGTTATTGAGAGGTTGGCTTTTAGAAAATAAATAAAATAAATAATAAATATTATTTCATTAATTAAAAATGTTAATTAGTGAAATAAATAATATTAAATAAACAAATTAAAAAAATAAATAAATAAAATAAAAAATTACAAAAACATCTTGACATCAAAATCTTCTCCATTTCTTACCTTGTCCATTTTTTCTAATGAGCTTACTTATTTATTTCTAAGCATAAAACTCTTCAAAACTATAGTATTGGATGCCACAGAGAAAACAACTCAGAGGCTACCACAACTTTATCAAGAATAAAAGATATTCCCTTTGTTTTAAAATGATTTTTGTTTAAAACTAGTAGAAGACCTGTGCGTCCGCACGGATTCTATCATTTATAACTTTAAGTAAAATTTATAATTGAAATGATAGAATATGTAAGTAATAAAATGTAAAATAGTAGTAAAATGTGACTAAAGTGTTATATTCAAGAACAATATTAACGTTAACAACGTCATGAAAGAATAAATTTTGTAATTTGCCCTAACAAAAAAGGATATTTTTTGGTATCTAATAGAAAAACCATACCCAAAAACGAAAAATAAATTATTTCATAAAATTGTCGTTGTTGATATATAAATTATTATAAAATCACTAATAACTGTAAATATTTAAAAATATATAATAAATCACTAATATGATAAATACAATATGAATAAAAACTATAAATATTTATAAATATCACAAATAACTATAAATATTTACATATATTTTATTAATTAAAATACATGATATAGAACCTGAAAGATGATGTTAGAACAATAAGCAAATTTTTTTATTCCGCATAATAGATGATGAAATACTAATGTACATGAAACAGAGAACTTTAGAGAGGTCTATGTACTATAGCAAATGTAAAAATTATATTTTGTTATAAATAAGAGGTTTATGTACTACAGCACATGTAAAAATTATATAATTTATAGTATAAATAGAGAGGTTTGTGTACAAATGATGTTGAAGATACTTATTTCACATACATATTATATAAGTACTAATCACATGCATATTATAGAACATACAAGTATGACGAAAGTACATGATCCCTCAATATTTTCTGCTAAATTATGAACATTCATTTTCATCCCTATAAGCTATATTGACCAAGCAAATTAAATTATGTGCTGAAAGCTTTGAGCATTACTCCCTCTGTGTCTTAAAACCAAGGGAAAGAGAAAACAAATATGTAAACCATATTGTTATATACAATCATCATATTTGTAGCTGCCAAATTAAGATTGGACGATCTAAATTTTATATATTACGGAAAATATTAACTGCAACAATTCTTCTTATGAAAGGAATTTACTCGTGCAATCCATAACTCTAAAAAATATAATAGGTCTATCCTTCGGAAAGACAGAGAACATTTCAATAAGTAAAATTGATAGTTATCAAGGTAACTAATAAGACTGGATAGAGGACAATTCCTTCTAACTTGGATAGAGTACTAGAAACAATATAACGCACAAGTTAAAACCAAATGGTCAAGAAAATCAAATTATATCAAGCATTTTAATCCAATAAATCACATTGTCAAAATTGAAATACAAAACCGACAAAACCTAATACAATGAACAAAATCTTGTGTTTCAACTCTTCTAGTCAAACAAACTAAAGCCCATATCCTGCAAAACAAAAATGACGATGATATGAATGATTTGTTAGTACATATTCACGGATCCACCAAATATCAACTAAGGCTATGTTTGAATATCATAATCTGGGAATGAAAACCACTCCATTCTGCTCCATCCAACTTTAAATGAACCAAACAATGGAACATAACTCCATTCAATCTCATTCCATTCCACTCCGCTTCATCCAATTTCATTAACCAACAAAGCCTAATAGACCTAAAAAAATTTAGAAACTTACATCATCAGACTCTTCTTTTTCTTCAACCTTCTTTTCTTCCTTTGCTTCAGCCGCAGGTGCAGCAGCAGCCGCAGCAGCACCACCAGATGCAGCGGAAACAGCAATAGCTCCTCCACCAGAAGGAACTGAAGCCAATTTCTCTCTTCCACTGGCAATTAGTTCCGCAAAATCTTTGCCCTTGACTTCCCTCAACAGCAACTCTATCTGCTCATCCTCACCCTCAACTCCAACTATAAATATCAAAGAAAAAACAAATTCATTCAATACAGTTCAAATATTTATAAATTCGAGTTGCATCACATTTCAATATTTTCATAGCCCCAATTCTTTATAGAGTGAAATTTCAGTGATGAGGGAATCAATTCCATGTTGAAATACAATTACACTTATATATTCAACTACATTGATAAATATTCTAGAACAAATATTCTTCAATATTCAACTATCAATTCTAGAACAAAAACACATAAACAACCGCATCTGAAATAATAAAATTGAAGAGAAAAATTACGAATAAGAACCTGAGCCTAGGATGCGTTTGACATCAACTGCTGAAGGGGCCGTGTTACCTCCCAAAACGGCCAACAAATATGCCGCAATGATCTTCATATCTGAAGGAAAAATCAAGTAACAAAGATAGTTATTAAGAGGAATCAAGAACGTCATGAGATTGGAATGGGTGCGAAAGAATGAAAAACGTACTTGGCTGGATTGGGATTTCGCAGCGACCGCTTGTACGAACTGTGAGGTCAAGCAGGGAAATGGGAGATGTGAGAATTTATATGATTAGGGTTTTTGAACACTTGGGCTGCTGGGCCTTCATCTTTTCTGTCTTTCCAGAAAGGACCCTGTTTAGTGGGGAAATTTTTATTAACAATCATTTTTTGTGTGAGTCATTTTATAGTTACACTTAAATAAGCTCTTTAAAATAAATATAGATCTTAAACTATTGACAAAGTCATCTTTAAGATTTTTATTTATCTTAAATAAATCTTGTGATGGTTAACTAGTATAATCTCCACCTTTTAAAATTCATGTGTATTTGTGTAATTTAGAGTGATCTTGGGGTGAGGTGAGTGACATATTTGTTCGAGTCTTTAGTTTTTCTGTACATAATTTGAAATTGTGTATAAAGCGTATACTAGATCAATAAACGTTATACAGGAAGTCTTGAGACTTAATTGCACCTCCTGAATTTCAGGAAATCAACCACACATGCCTATAGTGGTTGCTAAATTATAAGAGACTTGGTTCAAACCCTTGAATTATAAATACATTAGTATCAGTACACTGAAGGATAACCATTAACACTACGAAATACACATATACGGTAGTTTTTCATCTCACATGAGCTAAATTTCAATATCCTAACAACCTTAAAGTATTTGACAACCCTCGTCCACTAGGAGTTGTCATGCTTATTTTACTTTTTACGATTACAATTGACATCCACCGTGAGGGTAACCCTCACGACATTCAACTAGAGTATTGTCCTTGCACTCATCCCACATTATGGTGAACAAGAAGATAGTTACTCTAACCATCAAAGAGGCTGGCGAAGAGGAAAGCGTCGTAGCGGATATATGCGCTGCTACGGACAACCTTCTTTTCCAGAACTAAAACTTGGAAGATAATGTTCTTCATATCCAACAGTGTCTTTAAGAAATTGACATGGTGGATGAATTGGAGGTGTTAGACCCATAGTCTCTATCAGATGAGATATAGACGACATTGGTCCTAAATAACTTTAAATTGTCATCATTGGCTAAGTTTGATGGATGTGACGACCTGTATGAACACGTGGCCTCCATCAACACTCAAATGACCATCATTGAGGCATTTGATTCCCTAAAGTGCAAGCTCTTGTCTGACACCTTTAGGAATGCAACCTTGAGATGGTATATGTGCCTTCATAGGCTCTTTATCACCAACTATCAAGACTTAGTGAAGAAGCCAGTCCCCTAGTTTGCCTCAAGCAAACATGGAAGTTGACTGCCAATAGTTTGTTCAACATATGCCAGGGCCCATCAAAATCTTTAAGAGAAACCTCGCCTGCTTCGTATCATCATTTCATAACGGTCTTAGGGTGGTATGCTTTAACGAGAGTTTCACCCAAAGACTAATGGCATCCTTAGTTGAAGTAGTAACACAAGCAAAATGTTACATCAAATGCAATGAAATTAACATTGAGAATAAGGCTCATAGAGAAACTAGTATACATCACCTATTAGAGACAAAGTCTCCTACAAGAAAAGTGGAAAGCCTTTGGATAACTTTACGCCTTTGAACACTCATCGAGAGAAAATATGGAGTCAAGTTTTTCACATGTAAAACATCCCTCAACCATCAACACCGAAGGTAGATATCATTGGACCATAGCCTAATAGATGGTGTAGATCCATAAGGTTAAGGGGCATCACACAAAGGATTGCATGCAGCTTAAGAAGGAGATGAAATGCATAATCTAGGAAGGACATTTGAAGAAATAAATTAAGCGTAACCCTAGTGGAGGAGTAGGAGTGTATGGTTCCCAGGGGAGAGATACCCACGAGAGTCCCCGGTCCAGTTAGAGAAAAGAGCCAAGTGGGAAGAAGGGTGACAAGAATGTCCTTCACACGCTCAATACCATTATATAAGGACTCGTCGAAGGCGGAGAAACCAGTTTTGCCCAAAAAAGTAGCTTGTCAAATCTTGGTCATCGACAGTCCTACTCATAACTGGTCAGGGGACACAACCACCTTCTCTGAGGAAGACACATTCATTATTCACTCCTATAACAATGACTCCATGGTGATTTCTGTTTGATGCGATGAATGGGAAATCAAGAGAGTCATGATTGATCAAAGGAGCTGAGTGGATATCACTTAATGGATTACATTTGAGAGGCTCCGCCTAAATTTGGACGATCTTAATCTCTTTCCGGGATCTTTGGTAGGATTCCTGGGAAATTCGGTGCAAGTTAAGAGGTACATAACATTAAAGGATGTTTTTGGCATATAGGGAAACACCAAGTAGATCAAGATAGGACATTTATTCATTCATATGCCTTCATCATATAAAATATTCATATGGTGGCAATCCTTTAACCAGTTGAGGCTTAAATATCCATTATGTATCTATGTATGAAGTACCCTCTCCCAGATGGGAGAGTATGCGTTATACAAGGGGGGATAAGAAGACTGCTAAAAATGTTATGGGGAATCTTCAGGCCGAAGAGTGTCATAGTAGCAGCGATAAACATTATGGACACGAAGCCGAAGCTGATAGGAAAAGCTCCCACAGAAGTAGACCTTATTGTTTTAGGGTAGGAGACCATAGAAGCAGGGAAGAGGATCCCCCGCTAAGAAGCGACAACCAAAGTAGTGGATCTTATTTTATTTTATTTAATTTGTTTGATGTATGTCTTAAGCGAGTTATAGTTTCAATATTATTTGTATGAATAATGACTTTTCATGGGGGTACTATTTTCTTGTGTTATTAAGGTGGCACGTGGTTATTACGGATACTTTCTTCCCTCAAGTCGATTACATTTTAGATCCTCACATAGGAATCCATGTCGCCCATCGAGGCGATTACACGTTGGATCTTCATGTGTAAATCCTTGTTGACCCTCAAGGCAATTGCATGTTAGACCCTCGTGTAGGAATTCATACTGCCCCTAAAGGTGATTACATGTTGGATCCTCATGTAGGAATCCTTGCCTCCCCTCGAGGTTATTATATAATGGATTCTCATGTATGAATCCTTGTTTTCTCGTGTGGTGATTACATGTTAGATCCTCACGTAGGAGTTCTTATTGCCCCTCGAGATGATTACATGTTAGATCCTCACGTAGGAATCCTTGTTGCCCCTCGAGGCGATTACATGTTGGATCCTCGTGTAGGAATCATGGATTCCCCTCTAGGTGGTTACATGTTAGATCCTCGTGTAGGAATCCTTGTCTCCCCTCGAGGCGATTACATGTTGGATCCTCATGTAGAAATTCATGCCTCCCCTCGAGGCGATTACATGTTAGATCTTCATGTGGTAATTCTTGTCATCCCTAGAGGCAATTACATGTTTAATCCTCGTGTAGGGATCCTCGTCGCCCCTCGAGGTTATTACATGATGGATCCTTAGGTAGGAATTATTGTTGCCACTCAAGGCGATTACATGTTGGATTCTCATGAAGGAATCATTGCCTTATTTCTTGTCTAGTATATTAAACATTTATGATGGAGCCTATGTCGTAGGCATATCCCCTTAAGGGAAGCCTCTTAACACCTCTGGAATAATAAGGGCATCTCTAGAATGAGGCCTTTTCCCAAAAAGAAAATAAATGAATATTGGAAGATCATTTAGAAGGTAATATAAATATAAAAAGTACGAGAATACTATTGATTTGAGATCCAAAGTGGGGCAACAAATTACAAAAATGCCAAAAAGATAAGGACGAGATCTTGGAATTAATAGTCTTCTAAAGGATCGCCAAGGCTTAGGGCGTCACATGTTTAGGGTTTGTCTATAGGGACATGCTCTTCGTCCACAATCTATCATCCCCATACTTAAATTCATGTATGGATAGAGAAAAGTCACTTATTCCTTTTTCGGATCGAATTATAGATTAGAAGTCTCGACCAAGTTACTTTCAAGAGTAGACACTTCTACCTTAAGATTTTTGATAGAATCAAGGGCCTCTTTTAAAGATCCTTTTAGTCTGGTGACAGCAGTAACGTGGGTCCATTCCTCTAATGCCACCGCCTTCAGTAAGAAGACCTTCAAATTATCTTTCTCTTGCGCCAAGATCTTTAGCATCTCTTAGCGATGCATGATGACTTCTCGAGCCTTAGAAAGTTTTGAATTTATTTCCTTAATAGCTTTTGTGTGCTTCTCCTATTAAACCCACCAGATCAAGAAAATACTTAACAAGTGTGCCTCTACCACATCAGATAAGTCCTCAAATGATCTTTTGTGAAGGTTTTTGATAATCCGAGGTAAAACCATCAAGGAAGGGATATAACTCTTAGTAAAATTAACAACATCAAATAGAGTGTCTCTCCAGAGATATGACAAAGGGAAAGAATCATCCCTAATTAGTTGGTCTCACCCCCTTCCATATAAACTAGAGTGGATGTGAACAGTTTATCCCTATGAGCCTCAAAAGAACCTTCCTTTTTCAGAGAATCTTGGAGGGAGGTTCATCAAAGATAGGGCGATCCTCCATGCGCTTGGAAGCTTCCTTTGAAACCCGATTGGTCAGGAGATACAGAAGGACGGTGACTTGTTAAATTGCAACATCCCTCCTCGCCAAGCGCTCATTCCTATTGACTAACGGGGATGCTGACATTTTTCCTAGGAAAAGTAACTGTTGTACCCCAAAATTTGCCCTCTCATTTCTCAAGAAAATCACCCTGAATTCTCAAGTTTTCTCTTATACAAATCCAAGCCTTGAATTATCATTTCTTTCCAAGCAAGCCATTCACAAGGGAAAAATGGCTATTTACCCGCTGAGAAGTAAAACTTTGATTTTTTGGATCAAAATCAAATCTCAAAAATCATATTTCATCAAGACATGTTGGAATATGAAGTTTGTTTCATCAAGAAGTTCAAAAGTCAATTTTACCTTGGAAAAGTTAAATTCTAAATACTTAGAATTTTTATAAAGTATTTAAGAAAAAATGACACTTCAGAACTTCTGAACCAACCTCCAGGCAGGAGCAGTCAGAAGTTGCAAACTTAGCTCAACACATAACCTTCGGTCAGAAGTTGCAAACTTAGCTCAGCACATAACCTCCAGTCAGAATGTGGCTCTTCAGCATCTACGCGAGCTCAGTCAGAGTTTGCCAGATTAAAAACAGAAGATTATAAAACGTGATAAAAAATCTGAATGCTCTTTCAGAACATGCTGGAAAACCTAATGATCCCTCAGAAATTGCTAAGGCAACAGGATACCAAGATCAGAACTTGGGTACTTTGTTCTAGACTATGTTGAAATGGAACTTCTGGCCTAGATTTAGGCAATGATGCAAAATCTCCCATTACAGGATTTCTGATTTTTGACAAATCTCATCACCATTTAATGCTCATTAATGCTCACAACCACTTTTGAGTCTTTGTCCAAAGGGTCTCTCCACGTGTAGCATAGAAGTACCTTTGTACAGATTTAGGTATGGGTCTATGTGCTAATTTTCGCTTATGGGTGTCACTTTTCCTTAATCCCTGCTTACTAATCCAGCCTAGGCTAAAAACTGTCAACTATCACAACTTTTTTGAACTTTCTTCAAGAGCAAGTCAACATCTAGTGCATGATGTTGGCGCCACTTGACATTTTAAAACCCACAAAACTTTGACTATAAATAGAACGCCATTGGTCACTGAGAAAGGGTCCAGAAAAAAATTGATGAAAAGAGGTCAAAAGTTTGAGCAAAGGAAAAAACCTTGAATCTCTGCCAAAATTCCTAGAGTTTCAAAAACTGTAAACACAACACACAAAAACCCATTAACTTTGGATCCCCTGCTTTCAAACTCCATTTGTTCTCAAAATATTTCTTAACTAAAAAAACCATCCATACAGTTTTTGACCCACACGTTGGAAACTGCCATAACTTATGTGTTCATACTACTATATACTCTCCATCCGTCCATTCAAAGAAGTCAGAACATCATCCCCTTGCCATCCCCCGAAGTTGGAGACTGTCAGCTTACTGAGTATACAAAGAAGTTGTTCAGAACGTCATCAGAGTTGAGGCTAACTCCGGTTCATAGAACTTCTTCCAGCTGCAAGGTAAGCATCTGCTGACTCTCACCATATTGCTTAAGCATCACCAGATTTGCATGCTCAAAAACACAATGTAGATATCATGTTTCTGACGTTGTACATATTCTGAGATTTTCACGCGTCTGTATGCTTAAGTGGAGAATGAATCAATTCAGAACTTTCTTGAAGAAACTAAAACTCAGAGTTAAGATTAGCAAAGGCATACTTGCCTCTGATTTATGATTCTGATTTTCCTTATTTCTGAAACAATATGACACCTGCTGTAAATGTCCTAGGCATGTCTTCTATTTTGTGGAGAAATAACCAAATTGCAAATGTTCTAACTAGTATAGAGAGAGACCAAGTTCTGTCATTGGCACCAGCGCTTCTGGAGCCTATTTTGTTATCAGTAATATCAGAACTTCTGAAAATTATTGTGTTCTCAGCAGGGTCAGAACCTCTGACCTCATACATTTTCACTAACAGGTTTCTGTTTTGCAGCGTGCCAGGGTCAGAACCTCTGACCTATACATTTTCACTAACAGGTTTCTGTTCTGCAGTATGCCAGGTTCAGAACCTCTGATTTCCTTTTAGCAACACGTTGATCCTCTTTTTTCTTCCCCTTGTTATTTTCTTTTTCTTTATTTTTTTCGTTGTCACTCTCCATTTCATTAGTTAGCAAACATAAAAAATATTTCGGTCACATTTTATTTTATTTCTTAAAACAAAAGACAAAAAATATTTTCTTAAAAAATAAAACAAGTTCATTTAATATTTTCTAGTATGTATTTCAATATGGTTGTAATAGTAATGTAGGGCTTTATTTTCATTTGCAATCCCCATTCATAAATGTGTACCTCCACCCCCTAAATATTGTAATAACGTAGGACCTTACATTTATGCAATTTATCGCTTTCAAATGTAAATGCTAGTAAATAGGCGTGTATGGCAAGATAAAACCAATAAATAGACCACCAAAAATCAAAGACAAATGCATGCAATCAAACACACTTGCACACATGCACCCTTAGGGTAATTACACTTGTTGCCTAAAAATGATCATGATATGCACGTGAGATGTCTTAGCACAAACGAATCAAAAATACGAGATCATAGTCCCTCGATGACGCTATCACAGTTGCCTTTCAAAATGATCTTAGTCCCTAAAGAAAAAGTGCTAAGTCATCTCACAACATTGCTACCATGGTTATACGATGATCCATGCCCGTCCCGTTTACATCCAAAGATAGGGTTGCTTACCAAATCAATGGTAAGACAACAATGTCGAAGGAATAGAAAATGAACAAGAAAGACATTTGAGTAGGTAGATTACTTCTATTTACTTGCTCCATTTCAAAACAACTATCCTTGCTATTTCAAAACAAACACACACATTTCAAAACATCTTACAATCATTGAAAACATTTTCAAAAAGACAAACATCTTTGTATACATTCTTACGAACGAGAATCATTACAAATATTGCCTAAACAAATGGCCTCTTTTACAAAATACTTTCAAAAACACACAAAGCATAATTTCAAAACAAAAAGCAAGTGATCTAGCAAGTAACTAAGAGCCCATGGAAAACCATGGATGAAAAGGGTGCTAATACCTTCCATTTTCATAATCTACCCCCCGAACTCAAGAAAACATCTCGAAAGGTCTTTCCTGTGATTTTTCACCTTTCCTTATTGGATAAAAGAAAAGTCGGTGGCGACTCTTGCTAACCGCAACATTTGAGAACACAAACGCAAACCCTCAAGTTAGTTCTCCCACCGTATCACAGAACTGGCGACTCTGCTGGGGAACATTTAATAAAAGTGGGCTTACCTTAGGGCTATATCACATTTATTTGCTTACATTTTTTTGACTTGTTTGCTTTACATTATGGTTCTTTGTTTGGGTTTGAATCCTCCACCCGGATTTGGGAAACATTATAGGTAAATAGCAATACATTGTGGAAACTGTGCGGGGTATACCAACATGGTCTAAGCAATAGCTATGTTAGTGTGACATATTTGTGGGTACCAGTAGCCTTTGAGTCAATCAAAGAGAATAAGGGGCCGCTGAGTGATGTCATGAAGCACTAATGAACTTCTAGAACCCTTTACTTGACTAACTTGGCCTTTAGGATGTAGTGAGATGACCGGCTTTGGTGCAGTCCGAAGTTGGTAGATACTCGATACTACACTCATTGAGGGTTGGTTTCTTGGGATATTTCGGTCGCCATTAAAGAGGCTTGAGTTGAAACAATGACCAAGGAAACAATCCAGTGATATTGAGCTCCTTAGAACCCGATTACTATTACTAGGACAGGTTTAAGCCAACTAAACTTCAAGAGGGCACTTACCTATAAAACCCCATGCAAGCCTAAACTAAG